TGATAATCTGGGAGAAATGGGTAAGTTCCTAGAAACATACGGTCTTCTAAGACTGATTCTAGAAGAAACAAAGTCTAAACAGACCAGTTACAACCAACAAAATCAAAGCAGCAATAAAAAACTCCCAACAAGCAAAAGTACTAGACCGGATGGCTTTACAGGTGAATTCTACCAAACATTCAAAGAAGAGCTTAACACCTATCCTTTTCAAACTATTTCAGAAAATTCAAGAGGTCAACATTATCCCGATTCCAAAACCAATTAAGACACTACAAAGAAAGAAAATTATAGGCCAGTATCCCTGATGAACATGGATGCCAAAATCCTTAACGAAATATTAGTAAACTGAATTCAGAAATACATTAAAAAGATTATACCCAATAATCAAGTGGGATTTATTCCTGGAATGCAAGGTTGGTATAATATCCACAAATCAAATAAACATGATAATTACCACATAAACGAAATGAAGGATAAATTATATGATCATATCAGTAGGTTCAGAAAAAGACTTTGGCCCTGGCCAGTTTTGCTCAGTGGTTAGAGCGTCGGCCTGCAGTCCAGGGAGACCTGGATTCAGTTCCCGCTAAGGTCACGTACCTTGGTTGCAGTTTGTCCCCAACTCTGGTTGGGTCGTGTGGGTGGCAGCCACTCCATGTGTCCCTTTCACATTGATGTTTCTCCCTCCCTCCCACTCTCTCTGAACAAAAAATGTCCTTGGGTGAGGATTTAAAAAAAAGAAAAAGAATTTGACAAAATCTGGTACCCATTTATGATAAAAACTTAGCAAAGTGGGAATAGAGGGCACATACTTCAACATAATAAAATTTATGTATAACAAACCCACAGCTAATATCATACTCAGTGGGGAGAAACTAAAACATTTCTCTTGAGATCAGGAACAAGACAGGGATGTCAACTTTCACCACTCTTATTCAACATTGTACTAGAGGTCCTAGCCACAGCCCTCAGACACGAAGAAATAAAAGACATCCAATTTGGAAAGGAAGAAGTAAAACTATCATTATTTGTAGATGGCATGATACTATATACAGAGAGCCCTTAAAGATTCCACCAAAAAGCTACTAGACCTGATAAATGAATTCAGTAAAGTAGCAGGATGCAAAATTAATATTTAGAAATTGGTTGCATTTTTTTTTCTTTATTGATTTCAGAGAGGAAGGGGGAGAGAGAGAGAGACATCTATGAGAGAGATCATCGATTGGCCGCCTCCTCCATGCCCCCCACTGGGGATCGGGTCCACATCCTGGACATGTGCCCTGACTGGGACTCGAACCAATGACCTCTTGGTGCATGGGTCGATGCTCAACCACTGAGCCACACTGGCCAGGCAGAAATTGGTTGTGTTTTTATACATCAATAATGAAGTATCAGGGAAACTAAGAAAACAATCTATTTATAATTGCATCAAAAAAAGGTAAAATACACAGAAATAAATTTAACCAAGGAGATAAAAGACCTGTACTCGGAAAATTATAAGACACTGAAGAAAGAAAGTGAAGAAGATAAATGGAAGAATATACCATGCTCATGATAGGAACAATTAACATCATTAAAATGTCCATAACTATCAAAAGCAATCTATGGATTCAACACAATTCCTATCAAAATACCAATGATGTTCTTCACAGAACAACAAAAAATCTAGAAATTTATGTGGAACCGCAAAAAACCTTGAACAGCAGTCTTAAGGAAAAAGAAGAAAGTTGGAGCTATCATGCTAGTTGATACAAAAAGGTACTATAAGGCTATCATAATCAAAACAGCATGGTACTGGCATAAAAACAGCTACATAGATCAATGGAACAGAATAGAGAAGGCAGAAATAAACCCATGCCTGTGTGGTAAATTACTATATGACAAAAGAGGCAAGAACATTAGTAAAGATAGTCTATTCGAGCCCTGCCGGTGTGGTTCAGTGTTGAACATCAACCCATGCACCAAGAGGTCGCTGGTTAGATTCACAGTCAGAGCACATGCCCAGGTTGTGGACCCGATCCCCAGTGGGGGTCATGCAGGAGGCAGCCAATCGATACTCTCTCATCAGTGTTTCTGTCTCTGTCTCTCTCTCTCCCTTCTTTTCTCTCTCTAATATCAATAAAGAAAAAAAAAATTTAGAGGCTATTTAATAAATGGTGTTGGAGAAATTGAACAGATAACTGAGGGGATAAAAAGGCAATTAGACCACCTTCTTACACCATAAGCAAAAATAAACTCAAAATGGATTAAATAATTAAATTTAAGACTTGAGACCATAAAACTCTTAGAAGAAAAAATAGGCAGTAAAATCTCAGACATTTCTTATAGCAATATTTTTTCTGATATGTCTCTTCTGGCAAGGGAAACAAGAAAAAATAAACAGATGGGACTACAACAAACTAAAGATTTTTTGCACAGAAAAGGAAACCAACAAAATGAAAAGGCGACCTACTGAATAAAAGATATTTGCCAATGGTACATCGATAAGGGGTTAATATCTAGAATTCATAAAGAGCTCACATAATTCAACACCAAAAAATACACAACCAATTCAGTTAAAAAATGGGCAGAGGACATGAGTAGATACTTCTCCAAAGAGAACATACAGATGGCCAATAGATATATGAAAAGATATTCAAGATCACTAATCATCATAGAAGTGCAAATTAAAACCACAGTACCACCTCACACCTGTCAGAATGGCTGGCGAGGATGTGGTGAAAAGGGAACCCACAGTCACTTTTTATGGGAATGCAGATTGGTGCAGCTACTATGAAAAACAGTATGGAGGGTCCTCAAAAAATAAAAAATGGAACTGTCTTGTAACCCAGCAATTTCACTTCTGGGTATATATCCAAAGGAACCCAAAACACTAATTCGAAAGAATAAATGCACTTGGGTGTTTATTACAGTGTTATTTACAATAGCTAAGATATGGAAGTAATCCAAATGCCCATCAATAGACCAGTAGATGAAGAAGATTGGTACATATATATAATGGAGTATTGCTGGGCCATAAAAAATGAAATCTTACCATTTGTGACAGCCTGGATGGACCTCGAGAATATTTTTTGCATAGTAATGAAATAAGTTAGAGAAAGACAAATACCATATGGTTTCACTTATGTGTCGACTCTAAAGAGCAAAATAAACAAACAAAATAGAAAACAGACTCAGATACAGAGAACAGACTGGTGTTTACCGGAGGGTAAGAGGGACTGAGGGACTGGCTGAAAAAGGTGAAGGGATTAAGAAATATAAATTGGTAGTTAGAAAATAGTCTTGAGAATGTAGAGTACAGCATAGAGAATCTAGTCAGTAATATTGTAATGGCTATGTATGGTGCCAGGTGAAAGATCAGGGGAAATACTTTGTAAAGTATATGATTGTCTAACCACTGTGCTGTACACCTAAAATTAATACAAAATAATATTGAATGTGAACACTATAATTGAAAAATAGATTTCTAAAAGAAAACAAAAATGTAAATTGTGAACTCCAGAAATAAACAGTTCATAAATTCTAAATTGTGCACCCTTCTGAGTAGCATGTCCAGCATATCCACACTGCATACACCCACCTGCCCATTAGTGACTTAATAGCCATTTGGTTATCAGATCAACTAATCATGTACCACAGTGTTGTTCAAGCAATCCTTACAGTGGCCTAATGCTATGTCACAATGCCTACATCGTTCATTCACCTCACTTCTCATCACATAGGCATTGTATCATCTCATCATCACAAGAAAGATGATGAGTACAATATTTTGAGAGAGACCATACTCACATCACTTTTATCCTAGTATGTTATAATTGTGCTGTTTTTAGTTATTGTTCATCTGTGCCTAATTTATAAGTTAAACTTTATTGTAAGTGTATATACATAGAAAGGGGAGACCGATGTATTCCATTTCTGAGTAAAGCCTTATTTTTCTAGATTGAAAAAAACTAAGCTATAATTTTATTTATTTATTTATTTATTTTGCAACCTAAATATTTATTTAGTGGTATATAAATTTATGAGATTTTACCTATCGTTTAACGTTCTGATTCTTTTTTTTCCCATGTTAGAGGATGTTTATTAAAGCTGGGGACAATGAAACAAGGAAGGGCTGGGAAAATGAGCCTAGGCTGGGCTGCTTTGGCTCACTAAGAAGTCAGAGAATAGCCCTAGCCCTTTTTGCCCAGTGGTTAGAGCTTTGGCCCGCAGACCAAAGAGTCATGGGTTCAATTCCAGTCAAGGGCATGTACTTCGGTTGCTATTCGGTCCCCGGCCCTGGTCAGGGTCGTACAGGAAGCAACCAGTCAATGTGTCATCTCTTTCATATCGATGTTTCTCTCTTTCTCTCTCTCCCTTCCAACTCTGTCTGAAAATAAATGGAAAAATATTCTCTGGTGAGGATTAAAAAAGAAGTCGGAGGATAGAGGGCCTTGGGGACAGATTCGGGGTTTGCCTGAATTGCTGCTCTGGTTGCAAGCCTTGTGGGGTCTCTTAGTGTTTATGAGATGCATGTCTGTGGGGAAAGAAGGGCAGGGGAATGTGGGCATGCTCCTGGGGAAGGAGAGCAAGACTGATTCTTTTGATTGTTATGGATATCTGAAAAATTAGGCCAAAGAAATATTCCTGTTTTGTTTTTTTTTAATAGTAGATCAAAAATCCTTAACTATTGAGATCAAACAATGTATAAATTTCAGTTTTTACTGTTTTAATTCTGTAGACCAGTTGAAGACTAAGCATGTCATATAATGTTTTGAATGCCTGGTGAGGATTCTGAATAATATGTTTTTAATATGTGGACACTAAGTATTATAATATTTACTGAGATTTTATTTTAATTATAATTTTCATCCTAAGTCAGTTTCTATTCTAATATACTAGCTGTAAAAATAGAGGCTAGCAGTCAACTAGAAATTGAAATATGGGATTTAGATGTTTGTGAATTTTAGATGTGCACTTTTTTTTTGTATTGAAGAAAATTTTTTTCTTTTTAATTTTAGTAAAAAATCCCAGAAGTGGGATGAAATGAACATCCTGGCGACATATCATCCAGCAGACAAAGACTATGGTTTAATGAAAATAGATGAACCAAGCACTCCATACCATAGGTAATGTTTTGTAGAAGTCATTCCTTTTTTGACTTGTTTGCATTTTGCATTTGATGTGAACTTTTGAATAACAGCTGATTTGAATTTGTTTTTATATTTGTTACTGAAGCACTAATAACCTAACTGCATATTTTTGTGTAATAATATAACTAATATGTAACTTTAAAAGTGGGATCCATCTTGTACATTACAGTTTTAGTAGTATGTGTTTATTTGTTGCACCTCAGTGATTTCTAGCTGCTAATGATGCACACAGGCTAGTGACTTTTGCCTTCCTTAAAATCTATTTATAAAAAGGAAGATGAGAATTGGGTTTGTTTGCTTCCAAAATAGCAATCGGGCTTACTCAATCTCTTTGCAGAAAATGATAACTTCACAGATGCTAAATATTTTTTAACCCATTCAGAGACAAGTGGTCATTACTACTGTTTGATGTCCTTATTTTTAACTTGCATAATATTGTGATTTAGATCATGGCATAGTGATTGTTAGCAGTTTCCAGTCTACCAGAATTTAAAAAATAATAGTGTGTAACAGTGATTAGTATAAAGAGAAAATAATGTACCAATAAGCATTTTGAGAAGATAGAGTTCTAAATTAAGTAGAAACACCTAATTCAGATCATGCCTTAACTTATATTGAAAAAATATATTTTCAGAACTGAAATATTTTGTCATTGAAGTAAGACATCATAAATCCAGAAGTAACGGTTAAAATAGAGTTAAGAAATTCTGTTTTAGATCAATGGATGAAATCTTTGGAAGAGCTAAGTTGAGATAACTTGATAATAGCAAGAACATTAAAAAAAATAAACATGAAGATTGTGTCAAGAGTAAAAAGAAATGATGAAATAGGAAGTACAGATACTGGGACTAACAGTAATAAACATGAGGGACGAAATAGACATCATTTATGAATAGTTTATAGTCTGTTCTCCTAATTACAGATATACTTTTAAACATATCTTAAAACTTTTATTGGCCTAGCCAGTGTGGCCAGTGGATTGAGTGTTCGTCCCATGGTCTGTACACATGTGTACACACACACACACACACACACACACCTCTGTAAATTTTATAACATAACCTAGAATTTTTTATAGAACAGTTTGACAAATTGATAGGTTATTTTATCCTACTTTGTTTAATTATATCCATTAATGTAAATGAGTTTATTTCAACTTCCGTTGGGAAAAAAGAGCATCATCTAACTTGCTTATTTAGCAGTTATTTAACTTGCCTCCTTAACTAACCAGAAAAGGTATAAAACTAGCAGTTTTTATATGTATAGGTGAATTCTATTTTATATGCCTTTCAGTGACTTGACAATTAAAGATGCCCATTTTTGCATTTAAGTGGGGAGCAAATTTTTCATTAAAGGGTAGATTGGGAAAGCTAAATAGCTTTTAAACTTCTTGAATGAGGTCATTAGGGTCCAGTTTTGTTACTTTACCTAACCTTATATCTGCATAGATCCTTTGTCTCATCTTCAGGTTGAGGTACCAATACATATTCTAAAATCAGACAGTTAGGGTTTGGCTTTTTTTTTTTTTTTTTTCATTATATGCCCACCCCACTGGATGAAATAATTGAAGTATTTTTTCAGATGGTTTGAGTTTTCAATATTTATCTTCATGGTTGCAGTAGTATTTTTTGTTTGCTTATTTGTTTAATCATTTACTTTTAAATATTTGCATTGAATTGAAACCAAAATTAAACTTCAAAGATGACAACACAGCTATAAGTGTGTTGATATTTTAAGTCAATAGAATTATGTTTACCTTGTTTTTCCACTTGAAAAATTATTGTTCAGTTATTAATTATAATCTGCTTATTGTCCTAGTATGGGAGGTGATGATGAAGATGCATTTAGTGATTCAGAAAACACTGAAGCCCTGACCCCAGATATGTTAGCTGAGAAGTAAGTACTGATGACTATTAAGCATTTTCACTTACGCTGTTTTTTTTTATCCTCACCCAAGGACACTTCCTCATTTGTTGTTCAGATAGAGTGGGAGGGAAAGAGAGGAAGAGAGAGAGAGAGAGAAAGAAACATCTCTCTCTTGAAAGGGACACATCAACTGGCTGCCTCACGCACGACCCAACCAGGGCTGGGGACAAACTGCAACCAAGGTATGTGCCCTTAGCGGGAACCAAACCTGGGTCTCTCTGGACTACAGGACGATGCTCTAACCACTGAGCAAAATCGGGCAGGGTGACGCTGTTTTTAATTGTACGGAGTTAAAGGCATTTTACTTGTACACGTATAAATAAAAAGCATGTGCTAAGTAAGTATAAGTGGATTTCTCATAACTTTTATACTCTTGTTTCTAGATTAAAATCAAGGTATGCAGGTGGCAGAAAGATTAGAGTACAAGAACCTAGTACACAGATTGTGGTTTTTTGTTTTTTAACATTCTGCCTCCTGGGTTTTAAAGATGAAAAGTGAGAGCCCAGCCGTTTGTTGTGTCTCAATGGTTGAGCATCAACCCATTCACCAAGAGGTTGCAGGTTTGATTCCCAGTTGGGGTACATGACTGGGTTTCAGGCTTGCTTCCCAGTAGGGGGTATACAGGAGGCAGCTGATTATTATTGGTGGTTCTCTCATCAGTTTTTCTCTCTCTCCCTTCCTTTCTCTGTAAAATCAATAAAAACATATCTTTAAAAAATGAAAATGAGCAAGGCAAAAATAAATTAATTCCTAAACAAAAGCTCTATTTCTTTGCTGCTCATTGATTTGTCACCCTCCAATCTTGTTTTCTATACCCATGCTCACTCTCTTGCTTTTTATTTTCCTCATCAAGTTATAGCTAGTATATTAATGACAGTTAGTTGTTTTTATGAGACTCAAAAGTTGAAGAAGTCACTCAACAAATATAAGAATATCACAGTGTTGATTTCTTTGAAAATGATTGTTTAGATTAGCTGCTGCTAAAGGCTCGGAGCCAAAGTATCAGGTTCAAGAACAAGAAAGCAGTGAAGATGAAGACAGTGACCTCACACCTGAAGAACAAGGTAGTTTATTTCCTTTTGCTTTCAGCATTATGCTAATAGCTTTTGCTTAAATAAACACCTTATTTGGAAGATTATAAAATGGTTTTCTTTTCTGGAAAGTGGATGGTGGGAGATTAGGAAGCAACATTTTAAAATTCAAATTCTACTTGTGTGGGCTTATTGTATAATAGCCTTTTCCCCCCTCAATTTCAAGAATTTTGGAAATTTTTACCATCTTTAAAGTAATTATTGGTGTTCCTTTGTACTCTTTTTCAGTGCCTGGCATAGAGCCAGATGCTCAGTAAATATTTATTAAATTAATGCTTTTAGAGTCATTGAGTGTTTGGATAGTTTTAAAGTGAATAGAAATAAAAGCTAATTTCCTAGTTACCTGAGCTTTTTCTGTTTTAAGATAATAGTGAAACTTAATGATCCAAGATAGACTTAGTGTGAAGATTTTTATTAGGTCCCATCGTACAAAGAATGATAGTGTCATAGGAAAGGAGGTAAAGATAGCCTCTCAACAAGATGGAAAGGGCTCTTGTGGCCCGTGCAGCACATACGCAGTTAAAGCATTGTTACATACTTATTGTTTCTGTTTTTGCAAGTAACAGTGGTTATCTATGGATATAAGGGGAGAAGGAAGATATTTTAACTTGCTTTTTATACTTTTTCAACCATATGAATGTATAATCATCTTAAGAATTAAAAGTTGTTTATATAATTTATTTTTAACTATTTTTAACAGAAAAAAAATAACAAGCCTATGGGTAGGAAAAAAAGATGCAAGAAAAACACACCCTCACAGAAAGGGAAAAGAAAGTAGTACTATACTTGAAGCTTTGAAATGTGAGGACTTACCTGTATTGTAAAAGAAGTTTAGAATCTTTGTCATGGGTAGCTGCTAAGGTATAATTTGCTATTTTTTCCTCACATCTTTGGAGTATAGCTTATTCAACGAAATTATGATGGTCTAAGCCTAATCGTACAAGAGAAATTTTACAGGTAGCATAATCTCAAATTGTATCATATTTTCTCTCTCCAAAGTGACTTTCTGACATATTTTCCCAAAGTATACCCTAAAAGGTCCTTGAAAAGGGTTTCAAATAGAAATTTTTTCTAGATCTTGTTTTTTCACTATTCTCTAAAAACATGATCTATTGATAACAGGGAATTTATTGTGAACCTATATTGACACTGTTCATTAAGGGTTTTTTCCTCAAATTGTACTTCTGGGAATTAGCCAGCAGGGGGAACTATTGAGTAGTTGGTAATTTCACATGTTCATTAGCGTTACTGGTGTGGATGGATGGATGGATGGATGGATGGATGGATGGATGGATGGATGGATGGGTAGGTAGGTAGGTAGGTAGGTAGGTAGATAGATAGATAGATAGATAGATAGATGGATGGATGTTTATTGCTTTTAAACAAATTACATGTCTGAAAATCCTTATTGACAGAAATTCTTAGAAAAAATTGTCTTGTAACTGATAGCATAACAAGACATTGGCTGTGGAGTCAGATCTAAGTTTGTACACTTGTCTATAATTTGCTTAATTTCTCTGAACCTCCATTTTCTCATTTCTAAATTGGGAGCTATAAAAATACTGATAGCCATTGGTGAGTATTAAATTAGATAAAGAATTTAAAGCACTTAGCACTGGTTCTTGGCATATTATAAATACTTAGTAAGTATTAACTTTTAAGAACTTAAAATAATTGGCATATTCTCCATTATATTATTTTGTAGAATAGTAAAAGAAAGTATAAAAAAGATAATTCACTTGTCTAATCCATGTGGTTAGTTCATTATTATTATTACAGCTGGGCCCGAAACCTGAATGCCCTGTACACTGCATTATGTTGCTCTACCATACAAGGATTATAAATCAAATGAATATGTTTAAAGAAGATTGAGATCACTTGTATTAGCAGCTTTCTATGAAATGAATACATTGCATGTTTGTTTTTTAATTTTTTTTCTTTATTGATTTTAGAGAAAGAGAGAAAGAGAGGAAGGGAGAGGGAGAGAGAGAGAAACATCGATGAGAGAGAACATCAATTGGCTGCCTCCTGCATGCCCCCCACTGGGGATTTGGCTCACAATGTGGGCATATGCCCTGACCGGCAATCAAACTGGCGACCTCTTGGTACATGGGTCGACACTCAACCACTGAGCCACACCGGCTGGGCAAATACATTGCATGTTTTTAAATTTTGAGTATTACAAAACTAGAATATATCTGTAATAAGCAAAAACAAGTTTGTTATCTCTTAGAATTAAAAAATAATTAGACCGTAAATATAATTCACAAAAAAATCCTGTAATATCAACTTCTAGGAATAAGAACCACAAATTAAAAGTGTCGTGGTACCTTTCTTTCCCTTCAGAGCAACAAAGATGAAAAAGAATGACAATATTTCTTTTGGTGTGAATGTGGAGAAATAGGTTACTCAGATACTATTGGTGGGCATGAAAACGTAAAAAAAAAAATACATCCTTTGATTTAGTAATTCAGTTTCTCAGGGTTTAATGTTTTTAAACAATCCCATTTAATATACATGTGTACATAAAATTACAAAAATAAAAATTTCACAAGGGAGTACTCACCTTTACTATATGTGATATGTTTGTTTATTGCTCTATTTCTTTTTTTGTAATCCTCACCTGAGGATATTTTTTCATCTATTTTCAGACAGACTTGGGAGAGGGAGGGAGAGAGAAAGAGAAAGAAACACCAATGTGAGAGAGACACATCGATTGGTTGTGTCTCGCACGGCCCCAACCAGGGCCAGGGACCCAAATGCAACCTTGAATGGTACATGCCCTTGAATGGAATAGAACCCAAGACTGTTTAGTCTGCCGACCAACGCTCTAACCACTGAGAAAACCAGCCAGGGCTCTTTTTCTTTGTTTTTTGTTTTTTTTTTTAATGCTGGTTGTAACTCACTAAATAGTCTTGAGGCACAATTTGAAAAACCACTAGTTAATAAAGAGAAAATAATAGAAAAAATGCACAAAAATGTGTGTGTATTACATCATAAAAATCATTGAAAATATAAAGGGAGAAATCAGGAATCTCTGACCAAAGAATAGGGGATAAAATTATAACTCATACTTTATAACCATTTAAAAATTATATAAATCTGCTATGTACATGGAAGAGTTTTACTGTCTTTATATACTTTATTGTCTAAACACTGCGTCATTTTAAGATTGAAAGAAAAGGTCATTATTACAGTTTCATCAGACACTAAGCATAAACTTAAGACTTTGCTGGGAAAACTGGGACCTTATGGCCATCCTAACAGAATAAAAACACAACATATACAATAATAGATTATTGGTTTCTATAAAAAATATATTTTAGGAAAAAGTCTAGAGTCGTAAAATGTGAATGGTAATTTCTGAGTGAGGAAATTAAGAGTGATTTCTTTTTTAATTTTCTCCCATGAAATTGTGTTACTTTGTAATGAGAAAAAAGTATTACCTTTTTAGTAAATTTAACTGGTATTAGAGGCAATTAGAACCTTTTGTTTTGTTTATATTGCCTTGTACATCATCTGATACTTAAAGGCATAGCTAACAATTTAGCCATGGGGACTTGGTCTTTTTAATGGTCTTTTTTTCTTTTAATTTCATTTTTCTTTACAATATGGTTCTCTGAAAAAGTAAAACAAATCACAAACGTAATCTATAAGCAGAGAACAAGAAAGATTCCTGGCAGGATCTTTATGGGATGCTGAAAGGGATGTTGGTCTCAGAATTTTCCTGAAAGTGATTGATGAATATTGATATGAACTGTAAATGCTTGTTTTTAAAATATAACTATATATAATGATAAAAACTTGGAATTAGAGGACATTGAGAAAGTACTTTGAATGGCCATATTCTGAGAAATTTCTATTTCTCTATGCCTTTTTGGCATTAAAATATTTTTATAAAACTATAGTGCGTGAGTTTCAATGCTCTCTTGTTTGACAAAATAAATAGTTGGCAGTTTCACATCAAACCCCTTTTTTGTTTTTTTTAATTTACTGGTCTAAGACATTTTAAAATCTTAGAATTATTTCTTCATAAACAGTTGATCTTTAAAATGCTATCTTAATTGAATATGATCAGCTATGTTTATTGCTGCTAATTAATGTTTCTGTGGTGAAGAATATAAATGAAAGAATAGTCCAGAATTACTTCACTATAATAACAGGTTTTTCTTAAAATTATTCTGAGAATCAGGTTTTTTTTAGCAAGCAATGTTTTAAATCATGGCAGTTTCTTAATAAATCATAAGAATTTTTTTTTTTTGGTGGTACGTGCCACTAGCAGGAACCAAACCCGGGACTGTCTGGTCTGCAGGCCGACGCTCAACCGCTGAGCCAAACTGGCTAGGGCAATAAGAATGTTTTAAAGAAATTTTTTCTTAACTATAAAAATAGAAAACTTGAAAATATTAAAATTATCTCATTGTGTCTTGACCCATAATTAACCACTGTTAATTATTGAGTCTTATTTCTCTGTGTGTGTGCATGCACATACATACAGGCTTTGTATATATATTTGTACATAATATTCATCAGTTTCTACTCAGACTGTTAATACACACAACACAACACAGTATTATAGCTTGTTTTTTTTCTCATTCAACTCTTTCTGGAAAGTTTTTCTGTATCTTTACATTTTCTTCACAAATAGAACTACTATTGGCTTTATTCTTGTATTCCGGTTAAGATGTACTTGGACCAGCTAAAGCACAGGTTGACAAACTTTTTCTTTAAAGGGCTAGAAATAAATATTTTCAGTTTTGTGGGTCATATGGTCTTTATTGCAACTACTCAGCTTTGCCTTTGAGCACAAAAGCAACCTTAAGCATTACAAAAAAACAAGCATGACTGTGTTCTAGTAATACTTACCAACAGACACGGGCTATAGTTTGCCAGTCCTTAAGCTAAAGACTTCCTGAGCCTATTTTTTGTATTTTGTAGAAAAAAAGCGACAGTTTGAAATGAAAAGGAAGCTTCACTACAATGAAGGACTGAATATTAAATTAGCTAGGCAGTTACTTTCAAAAGACCTACACGATGATGAGGAAGACGAAGACATGTCAGAGACTGCAGCTGGGGAAAGTATGAACACAGAAGAATCAAATCAAGGTTAGATGTTTCAGAAATATTCCTGACATTCTTGTGATCCTTTGTGCCTAAGTAATAGACTTTATTTTGCTTTAAACTTGAAGAACCTCAGACTGTTTTGCTGGCATTCAGTTAATGCCAAAAATTTCTAAAATTTAAATCCCTGTGGCCAATTTCAAAATAAGGTTTTTATGTCCTGAGTTGATTTAAGACCATATGTTATATGACTATGTGTTTTGGTTTACTTGATTTTAATCAATGTTGTTCGTCTTCATATTAAGCTATATTTTGTTTTTAACGTGTTAGATCCTGTTTGATCTTTTATAGCTAAATTAAGGTTTAAACATGTTTTTAAAAAACATCTTTTTAATATGGAAGATTTGTTTTAACATCTTTTTGGGTGCAGAGTATATTATATTGTTCCAATGTTGATTTTTTGACTGTTGTATTGATGGGTTATTTATTCTCACCCAAGGATATTTTTTTTCTTTGATTTTTAGAGAGAGAGGGAGACAGAGGGGGGATAAAACATTGATGTGAGAGAGAGATACTTTGATCAGTTGCCTCCCACACGTGCCCTTACTGTTGCTGGGGATTAAACCTGCAACCCAGGAACAGGCCCTTGACCAAGAATCAAACTGGTGATCCTTCAGTGCATGAGCGGACACTCCAGCCACTGAGCCACACGGGCCAGGGCATATCAACTCTTGATCAGTCATGGCAAATAGATATTACAGTATTTTTTGGTGTTTCATATTAGATTTTAGTCTTTCATACAGTTTGTTTTCTGTTATTATTTTTAATTTTTATTTATTGATTTTAGAGAGAGAGAAACATCAATTTGTTGTTCCACTTATGCATTCACTGATTGATTCCTGTATGTGCCCTGACCAGGGATCAAACCTGAAACCTTGGCATATTGAGACAATGCTCTAACCAACTGAGCTACCAGCCAGGGCGATACAGTTTATTTTATACAGCATTTCATTTTCTTTTTTTTTAACACTTAATTTATTAATTTTTTTATTATAAATGTCCCTCATTTCCATTTTATACACTGTTGTCTAGCTTATATTTAACTTGAACAGACTTTATTTTGAATAATTATGTGTCTCTTATACAATTTATTACCCATTTTTACTTGGCCTATCTCCTAATTGGTCTTTGTTGCCCATTTACCTATATCTAACCAACTGAGCTACCATCCAGGGCGATGTTTAGTTGTTTATTTCAATGTATTCACATAAATGCTTCTTTGGTTATAAGTTGTCATCAGTTTCTACTCAATTCTTAATGACTGGCCAAGCACTGGGAATACTTCCTTTATTTGTCTCTGGGAATTTGCAGCAGCAACACTGTGCCAAAGGTTAAAGGCATTTCTTATTTTTAGCCACGGCTTTTGAAAAATAACTCCGGCCTTTTGTCTTTCTCTACATTAGATTTCACACATTTAGTATATAAATATATTTATTCATTTAAAGACAATGATTAAAATTTGCTTTAGCTCAGTGCCTGGTTTTTCTTCAGTGGAGATGAAGGACTCCTGACAAAGGGGTATATTCTACTTAGCTTCATAAAGTCCACAAGGATAAAAAGACTACAGAATAAGGCATAGGAAAAAAAGTTGCTTATTTATCCTCTACCCTTTTTGGTTCTTAAAAAAAATTAATCAGCTTTTAAAATCTCCAGGTTTTATGGAACCCATTACTTTTTTAGCATTGTTCTTCTCCTCCCTCTTCCCTGACCTCTGTTTATTTTTTCCCATTTATTTATATATTTATTTTTGTTAATTCTCAACCCCAGGATATTTTTTCATTAATTTTTAGAGAGAGTAGAAAGGAGGGAGGGAGGAAGAGAGAGAGAGAGAAACATCAATGTGAAAGGGAGACATCGATTGGTTGCCTCCTGCACATGTGCCGACCAGGGTTGGAGATTGAATCTGCAACCCAGGTACTTGCCCTTGACCAGGTATCGAACCTGAGACCCTTCAAGTGCTTGGCTGTCACTCTAACCACTTGGCAACACCAGCAACCAACACTTGCTTGCTTCTTTTTCTTTTTTTAATATATTTTTATTGATTTCAGAGAGAGGAAGGGAGAAGGGTGAGAGAGCGAGAAACATTGATTGGCTGCCTCCTGCATGCCCCCTAGTAGGGATCAAGCTCACAACCCAGGCATGTGCCTGGACTGAGAATCGAAAGGGTGACCTGCTGGTGCATGGTACAATGCTAACAGAGCCACAGCAGCCAGGTTTATTACTGGTTTGTAAAAAGAAAAGTGGCATGTTTATACTCTGAGAAAATATTTTACAATTTTGATACCATAAATGCAAATCCTTTTATAGCTTTGGATATTTGAATTGTAATAAACTCAGCTATCCACCTGTGATTTATTCACAGAAATAGTCAGTCTGAAAGCCATTTGTCTTATCACCAAGTCAACAACTCTAGTCCTGCTCTTTAGAATATTTAGGGAGTATGCTGATTCTTTCATATCAGACTAATTTGCCTACATAAAATTAACCTTACTTGTTTTTTAGATTTTTACATTTGTTAATCATCAATGACAGTGGAAGGGAACTTTATCTCAGGGAGTTCCAAGGTTGGCAATACACAACAAACAAATTATATTTATTATTTTTTTCTTTTATCTTTGCAGGATCTACTACAGGTGACCAACTGCAAAACAGATCACAGAGTTCATAGAAGAGATTTGTTCAATAACAGTTGTCGGATACAAACCCTGTTACTATACTATTCTGCTTCTTGTTCTCTACAATTCATGACTTAAGTACCAAAATGCATACCAGTGTTGCCAAGAATTAAATGCCTAATTGATACATATATTCTTGTGCCTAGTACTTCACCACAAATACAGCATAATATCATCAGTCCAAAATTGCGTTACTTTTGTAAGAACACTGGTTAATTTGTATAGGATATTATATAGCTTTTTATGCTTTAGAGATTAAAACAATATCTTGGGAAAGGGGAGGGGATCTAATTTATTTTCTTCACTTCTAGATGTGAGCTCTTATAAAATCTTTTTTTTTTTTTTTTCATCAAAATACAATTGAAACAACAGATTATATAGGCTCATAAATAGTCTGGAAAAGTGTTTTAACACACATCTCAACTTGATTTATCTGTTTAATTGAAAAGGACTATAAGAATTATTGTTGCATTTTCTGGCCTACTACCTATAAAATTCCTTGGAGTTTCTTTGTTTACAGGGAAAGGATTAAACTTTTTTCTCACCAAACCTAGTTTTATTCACAAATAAATTATCAGGTTAAACTTGCACTAATGCCTGCTCTTTTTTTGTACACTTGATTGGCAGACTTCAGATCCGTTTTTTTAACAAATATAATTCTAATGTAGTCTCAGCATTCTCTTTATATGCCTGTCCTAACCACCTGCTTTTGTTTTCTGTTCCTTTTCACATAGATGCACACAATAATACTTTATAAAGGATCATAAAGATTGTAGTGATATTAGGAACTCTTCCTTCTCTTACATATTCTGTCATTTTCTGCAATAATGAAAATTTTATTTTGACTATCAATACCTATTATTTTATTCTAAAACATGGAGAAAATAGATTTAATAGCAGCAGTACTGTAGACAGGAAATACGATTCAACAGCAGAATTTCTATACCACTCTGATTTACAGCTTGCTAATTAATTTGCTATTAACTAGTTTAATGTTTGACTTAAATAGACCTTAGAAAACCAGTTTTTTTTGCATGATGAGAGAATTGTGTGTAACTAGTGATATGATGATAGTTTCTAAATGTACAGACAGAACTAATGCTGAACACTTTTTAAATTTAAAAACTCTGATCTCTGCTTTAAGGGAATATGATAATGTATACTATGACAAATGTACTTTATTCTTCTAACACAGTAAGACTGAGATTTTTTCCCCCTAAAATGAAGTGCAGTTCCTGTGTTTCTTGGTTTAGTGATAATTTCATTTTTAGTCAATTATTTGTATCTTAATTTTTTGTTAGTATTCAAAGAATCTATTATATGAACAGACTTTTAAATAATTTCTGTATATTGTATATATGAAAATGCTTTTATTGAACAGTTTATCTTCCACTTACAAGTTTATGGAAATACCAATATGTCAAAATAAAGAGTGGGAGAGCCCTGGCCGGTGTGGCTCAGTTGGTTGAGCGTCGTCCTTTGCACCAAAAGGTCACCAGTTTGATTCCTGGTCAGGGCACTTACCTAGGTTTCGGGTTTGATCTCCGGTTGGAGTGCATATAGATGGCAACTGATCAGTGTTTCTCTTTCACATTGATGTTTCTCTTTCTCCATTCCCCTCTCTATAAAAAAATCAAAACATTTTTTAAAAATGAAAATTATTTGAATGTGTTTTTAAAAAATGAGATCCAGTCAAAGCACTTCTGAACTGCAGGTAATAGTATTCTAACTATAACATGTTAGCTAGTAGCACAAAACCGTATTTATATCTGCTTTTTGAATTTAGAATGTTGAGGTATTTTTACCTGTTTAAACCCATTGGGGGGGATTTACGCTTAGTACCTATGTTCATGTACACAAACTTGTTTTTTATTTTCTCATTTTGACTTTTTAGAAAGTATCCACATACTAATTTGTAGAAACAGCTGTTGTACAGTGAAGAAAAGGTAAAACCTTTAACAACTGTTTCTTTTGGTGTTTTCTACAAACTATTTCTTGACACTTCAATCACAGGCAAACTCTCATTTCTCATTTTAGGTGGTATAGATAGTTATCTCAGGGAAGTAAGACATGGCAAATAGCATACCCAGTAGGATTTTAGGTAGTCGAATGTAACCGAATGAAACTTTTCATCAAATCATGAGTTCCTGATTAACATGGCATTGGTCTATAAAAAATGAACCTTTATGATTCAAGTTAGATTTTCCTTTATTGATTTTTTTTTTTTTTTTTTAATCCTCACTTGAGGACATTTTTTCATTTTTTGTTCAGATAGAGCGGGAGGTGGGGAGAGAGAGAGAGAGAGAAACATCGACGTGAAAGGTACACATCGAGTGGCTGCCACCAGCACGACCCAACCAGGGCCAGGGACAAACTGCAACCGAGGTACATGCCCTTAGCGGGAACCGAACCTGGGTCTCTCTGGACCGCAGGCCGACACTCTAACCGCTGAGCCAAACAGGCCAGGGCTCAAGTTAGATTTTCCTTTGGAGAAAGTTATCTGTCAATGTTCAGTTTTAGCCAAGGTAGATTTTACATTCAGCTTTTTAATCAGTACCACTTCCTTAACTCTTTTGGTGTCATTTGTTTTTAGTCTGAAATTCAGCAGTGATGTTTTTTGTTTTTTTATCCTCACCCAAGGACATTTTCCCATTTTTTGTTCAGATAGAGTGGGAGAGAGAGAGAAACATCGATGTGAAAGGTACACATCGAGTGGCTGCCACCCGCACAACCCAACCAGGGCCGGGGACAAACTGCAACCGAGGTACGTGCCCTTAGCGGGAACCTATGGTCTCTCTGGACCGTAGGCCGATGCTCTACCCGCTGAGCCAAACTGGCCAGTGCAGCAGTGATGTTTTTTAAAACCTAATAATAAAATGAAATGGTATAAATGGATTGTTAAAGTAAAAGTAAATTGAAGATTAAAGCAAAGTGTCATTTTTCCCTAGACTTTTATTTTGTTTACATTTTTACCTTTAAATTGGCACACTAAACATGTTGTAATATAATACGGTAATATGACAGTTGCCTATCTGTGGATTTTACTTTTTTTGCTACCCAGCTATCTCAAAATCATGTTCCATTGGCCAAGTATTCTGGATACCAGGAGAGGATCTTGGACTGCATCGTGATAGGGTAGTTTGTTTAATTGTAATAGAAATAATAACTAGACACAATTTATTGGGAGCCTTTTATTTGCTCTTGCCCAGCATTTTGCTAGGTCTCTAATATATAATCAAAGCAACCATATAAAGCAATTCTTTTTTTTAATCCTCACCTGCGGTTATTTTTCCATTTATCTTCAAACAGAGTGGGAGGGAGAGAGAGAGAAACATCGATGTGAGAGAGACACATCATTTGGTTGCCTCCAGCATGGCCCAGACCCGAACCGCAGTTGAGGCATGTGCCCTTGACTGGACTTGAACCTGCGACTCTGGTTCACAAGCTGACTCTCCAACTGCTGAGTCAAACCGGCCAGGACGCAAGCAGTTATTCTTGCCAGCACTTTGTAAATGAGGAAAATGCTCTTGGCCAAGTTTTTCAGTCTCAATACCTGTCTCATACACGCTAAATTATAGGGTTAAATTCCAGATCTAACTATAAATTTCATGCTCTTTATCCATGTTTTTTCTATGTAGAAAATTTATTTTAGAAATTACACTTTAAAAATTAAACTTTATTTGGGTTCTTGATTCACATCCTTTGCTTTAGGAGTAACATTTTTTAGGTGTTTGAGGTTTTATTTTCTTTTAATAGGAAAATTTAGAAATTATTTTGTTTGATGATTATATGCCATTTATTTTATTTTTTTATTAATTAATTTTTGGATTATATGCCATTTAGAAAAAAATCTCAAAAGCACAAATACTCAGTGGCTAGAGATATTTATTATTATTATTATTTTGTTCGTTCTTACCCAAGGATATTTTTCCATTGATTTTTATGTTTATTGTTTTTTTAAGAGAGAAAGGGAGAGAGAGAGATGCATCAACATCGGTTGGCTGCTTCCTGCACACCCCTTCCTGGGGATCCAGCCTACAACCTAGGCATGTGCTCTGACAGGGAATTGAACCAGTAACCTCTTGGTGCATAGGTCAATCCTCAACCACTGAGCCACACCAGCCAGGCATTTTCCATTGATTTTTAGAGTGGGAGGGAGAGAGAGAGAGAGAGAGAAACATTGGTGGGGGAGAGACACATTGATTGCTCGTTGCATGACCAGGGCAGGGGATGAACCTGCAACCCAGGTATATGCCCTTGACTGGTATGGAACTCAAGAGCCTTTGGTCTGTGGGTCAGTGCTCCTAACCACTGAGCCAAACCAGCCAGGGCTGGAGATGTTTAATGTATGTAATTTGGTTTCATTTTGCAAGTTTGTTTCTAAGCAGGGTGCTCTAAACTCAGAACATGATTTTTTTCATAAGTACCAACCAGTTTATAAAAATAAGCATGTACCAATTTAAAGGGGAAGTGTAAATAAAATAAAACTCTAGGGAAAAATGGCACTTCACTTTAATCTTTAATTTTTTTAAGTTATTTAACAATCCATTTATGTAATTTTATTATTATTAGATTTTAAAGAACATCACTGCTGAAATTCATGAAACCCTCAATCCCACAGCATGTTCCATGAAAAGGATTCCACAAGCAAATAAGCTTTGCACATCCTATGTACTTTATTTTCGTACACCCTTGAATATTTATAATAATGCACATCATCATAGTAAAGGGTTTGAGATATCGTGCATAAAGAGTGTGTTTACTACATGGTTTAGCGCTGGCCAGTTTGGCTCAGCAGTTAGAGCGTCAGCCTGTGGACCAGAGAGTCCCGGATTCGGTTTCCACTAAGGGCACGTACCTCGGTTGCAGTTTGTCCCCGGCTCTGCTTGGGGTCGTGTGGGTGACAACCACTCGATGTGTCTCTCTCACATTGATGTTTTTCTCTCTCTCTCTCTCTTCCTCTCTCCCTCCCACTCTATCTGAACATAAATGAAAAAAAAAAAAAAGTCCGTGGGGGAGGATAAAAAACAACAACATGGTTTAACCTGGCAGTTTTTAAACAAATTTCACCATAATCATTCCACCCACGTTTCCCCTCAAGTAGCATCCCACATGGGAATATGGGAGGTAGACTAGCATCTCCAATATCTCATGAATGTTGAACTTCCTCCTGAAAGAGGAAAACCGTTTACCATTGAAAGAGGGAAGACAACGGTGGTAGAAATAACCACAATACTTACGGATTGTACATAATTTACCTAGCATAAGGCCTTAATTTTTGGTAACTTATTCAAGAAACTGTAAAATGCGTATCCAGGACAGATGAGGGTGTAGGTGGTATAAGTTGCTGTGGTTTAGTATTGATATAACTACAGGCATACAATGTGCTTCACAGATAGTGCAGTTTTGTTGTTGTTTTTTATAAATTAAAGACTAGACCCTCCATCAGCACTGGGAAACCAAGAAATTTGTGTGACTCCATTTATTGCAGTGACCTGAAACCAAATCTACAATATCTCTGAGTTATGCCTGTATTGTTCAAAGAACTGCTGCTTTAAGCAATTTTCTAAAATGCCTTGTCCTCCCCATCAACTGTTGCATAACTGGCTGACAAGAGCGCATCTGCTACTCATTGGGGAAATAAAAGAGTAGCAAGTCTTCCTGGTCTGGATCATGGCACCAAGCCTTAGCTACCCCAGATAGTGTTTTGGGGGTGGGGGATTTGGCTCCTATACTTTAAATGTGGATTTGACTCACCTAGTCTTTTATTTAAGGAATTATTTGGGGGAGGTAATTCTAAGAGTAGGTAAGTGAGGGTGGAATTGGCAAGTGTTTAGTCATGATTTTATCTCAACTGCTCAACCTGGAATTTTTTTGTTACATCTGCCAAGTGACTGTTAAGCATTTCAGTTGTATTACCAATGGGAATAACTGCAATTGGAAGAGAATGCCTATAAGTTTTTGTTTTCTGTTTAATTCTTTTTTGGATTAATGACAAAATGTTGACTAGAAATAGAAGAAAATTGTGCAGGCTGATCTTTTGTATCTTAATATCATTTGACCTCACTTTTAGGCAAAGGAGATTATAAGCAGTTTTGCAGCCTGCCTTGGTCTAATAAAATTGTTCAACTTGGAAAATTATTACCAATAATAGACTTAACAAACATAGGAAGAAGAAAGTTTAGTTATACTCTTGTTTAGTTGCGCTCCCTGGTATCTAAGTATCTCTTACATAAGCCATTACTTAAAAGACAATATATTTTTAT